TAATTAATTTTTGTACTAGATAGGTGTTTTAAGAAGCATAAAGAAAGCCGTCTCAAACGAAGCCTTAATCCAGTTGTGATGAAAAGTGGGCAGGAGTTGAATAAGTCTAAAATTAAAAATAAATTTTATATAGGGAATTTAGCAACTTTGTAGGAAGGCAAGAGAATTGCGGATACTATGATTCAAAGAAGCTTTAATGTCACTTGTTTGCAAGAAACTAAATTAAAATGAGAAAAATTCATGGATCTTGGGGAATGATATAACCTATTGTATGTTGGTAGGGTTAATGATAGGAGTGAGTTACGGATTTTGTTAGATAAAGAGTGAAAATAAAAGTGTAGTAGATTTAGAGATATGGTGATTGGTGATTGCTATTAAGTTAATTATCGATAAATGTATTATTATAATGGTTAGTGCTTGTGTTTCTTAAGTTGAATCAGAAAATAATTTATAAAATCAATTTTGGAAAGTGATGGAGAAACTATTTTAAATATTTGAGAAAAAGCTGATAATTATTAGAGGCAATTTAAATTATTGTTATCATATAACAGGTTGTTAGTGGATTCATGGTGGTTTTGGAATAGGAGATAAAAATATTATGGGGTAGCTAACTTTGCGTTCTTATTAGCATACGAATTTTCAATAGCTAACACCTTAAGAAACGAGCATAACAATTGACTATTTATTCAAGTAAAGCAATAAAATCACAAATGAATTTATGTTACTAGGAAGGAAAGAAAAATGCTTTTTAAAGATAATAAGGTGGTTCTTAGAGAAAGTTTGATCATACAACATAGAGTAGTAGTTATCAATTTATATTTAGAAGTATAAAAAGTAAAATGATCAAATTGAATAATTGTCCTAGTATGGAAGGTGAAAGGTAAGAATTATTAATTTTTCAAAAGAGGTGTGAAGAGTGCTAAGTTGTGGATATCGACGTGGTCTTGATCGTCATAAACAAACCCGTGATCTTGTTCAGGATCTGCAATTCATCAATGTACAACAATTTCAAGGTTCGGGAACCCTTTGGACAGCGATGAGTGGCCTCTCCAATCGGCTGGACAGTAAGGAAGAGTGCAGGAATTTCTGGACAGCACCTGATGCATTACTGGACAGCAAGCAGGAACTGTTTTAGACAGCAATATTGCTGATATTGGAGTTCTGGACAGCAATCCCTTGGTCTAGAAATCTGAACAGCAGCTGTGAGCGGATCTAGGTGGCTAGGGTTGATGTGGCCGATTATGGGAAAGAGAATATATCCCTTAAATGACAAGGGAAATAATTTGGGGATGTAATAATGGAGATAGAATGAGAAAAAAGGAAGGGAGGGGAGAAGGGAGGCTGGCGGGTATAGCGGTGGGGAAAGGGTGTGGGGAATTTAAGGGAGTTTCCAAACTTGAATTAATGAATAAGGAAAGGAAAAATCAGGATAGATTTCTAATTAGATTTAAGTGTGAGCATATAGGAAAGTATCCTAACATAAGTTATCCTATTTAAGGAAAGGATAGTAAATTCAAAATTGATTTAAATTTGAAATTTGAAAACTTTGCTAAATTAAGATGTGGAATGATGGAAAGTAGTAAATATGATTTTGAGTTTGGGAGGCAAGGGGATGAGATGGGGCCAACGGCTAGGGTTTAGGATTGGATTTTGATATGAGCTGGCGGCTATGGGGGAGGGGAAAAGCCCTTATGGTCGGCGGCTTGGAGGTGGGAGAGTGGTGGTCGGTTGGGTTGTAGTGGTGGTGGGGTTCGGCCGAGAGGGGAGGAGGGAGTTATGGGTGGGCGGCGGCTAGAGGAGGAGGGTGGGGTTCGGCCGAGAGAGAGAGGAGGGGATTTGGCCGGCGTTTGAAGGGGAAGGGAGGGAGGATGGGGAGTGACGACGTCGGACACGAACCCAAACGCTTTCTGCGGTTGGTGGGTATTGCGATGCCCTTTCCTAGGGACTTCAATCTCTCCAAGAACTCTTAAGCTCTCTCAAAACACATAAGTGCAGAAATTTTATAATATCATTCATTATCCCTTAAAGGAGGAGGAGACTTTAAATAGCCAATACAATGAAGAAAAATACAAATACCAACTTACCCCTAGGGCATACACATGACTAGGCCCTCAAGTGGAGGCATAAAATGAGAAGTACAATAAAACTTATAAACTAATACATTAATAAGAAATCTAATACAATGATAATGAAAAGTAAAACGGTGTAATCGTGGCCGTAGATCAACGACCAGACCTCTGGTAGACTCTCCAAGGTCGGATGTCCTCATCATTCTAAAATTGGTCATAAAAATGCTCATGTAACGTATTCAAAATGAGATACTTTGGTGTATGCTTATGCTTATGACATTTATATTGTAGGGACATTGGTTGAAATATCTATTAGAGGTAGGAAAATAATAAGTAAACTTTAATAGTTTGAGATAAAGGATGATGCTTTAATAAGATTGGTAGATAAAATTAATGATAAAGGATTATAATTAAAAAAAAAAAGAGAGAGATTTAATGTAACTTGATAAAATTTTGTGCAAATAATTTGCACATAGTATGTTTCGCGCCTTTGAACACTCAAATATAAAATGGAGAATGAGGATAATTGCGTCACTAATAATAGTTGAGATAAGACTAACAATAGTGATGATAATTGCGTCATTAAAGAAGCCATGGAAATCGACCAATCAGCCAAAGCTGTACATTCCAATGCTTGTTGCACAATCCTTTATTATATGATGCGTTCTGCATATTTATCTTTTAATAGAATCCTCAACTTATGACTACGTTGGTGCAGTCACTGAACAAGCTTCAAACGCTAACTTCTACTATGACTTTATTTGGGATGGCTTTTTATTACTTCTTAAAACAACTTTTTAGTTTAAAAACTAAATTTTTTATACTAAAAAATTGCTTTAAGAAACAGTAAGAAAATCATCTCAAATAGAGCCTTGGAAAGATTAGAATAACTAAAGAAAGATAGCATAGATTAGCTTCTTCCACTCCATTAAACCAGTTGTTGATTAGCACTTTCTTCGTATGTTTGTCTGCAGAGTGAAGCATGGAGAATCCATTATAGCAAATGCAAACAAATCATTGAGATTAATAATGGCGATAGCAAGCTTTTACTGCGTTTGGTGCATGATTAAGATATACCTGCGAGGCTGCGAACCCCGCCACAGCCAGCCATTGGTGAAGAGGCAGATCTTGGAGTGCTGGTATTCCTCGCCATCTACTTCTTTCTTCCTCATGCCTTCTGCATCTTCTCAGTTACGCAGAAAGATTATGGCAATGAGCAGCTGCCCTTATAGCTTATACCTCGTATATTTTGAGCTATTAGTAAATAAGAGCCGAGCTGCATAGTTTGTACATGAATGAGCATATCTATTAGTTTTGTTATTGAAGTTCAAGTCGTAATCAAGCTTTAGTGAAATTATTCTTTCATTCCATTGAAAAAAAAAACCCTTAAAATTTTACTTTTATATTTTAGAAGGGAAACAAAGTGGGTCAAATATCCTAACTTGATTTTTATTTGGACTAGCATAAAAATTTTAACAAAATTCAATAATTACAATGCAAAATAATTTTGAAAATTGAATCTCTTAAAGCTTATAGAATTTACTAAATCCAAAGGTTCAAAAAAATTTGAACTAAAAAATTATTTTTTAAAAAGCAGTATCAAACGAAGCCTTAGATATAAAACCTTCCAAATAATGTTATTGTTGAAGTTAAATGCTACGGTGGCATAAATCCCCTTTCTCCTCCGTTTTGACTTCAATGATGTATTCACTAAATTCACAAGTTTGAGGGATCTGTTGGATTTAGCCAAAAAGAGTTGTGCTAAGGGAGAAAAATAGAGGGTTATCTTCGCAATTGGGAACTCTCGCTACTTAGGTTTTGTTTGGGACGGTTTTTTAACTGTTTGTTACAGCAATTTTTTGGTTAAAAAATGTGTCGAAAGCAATGAAAAAGTATTGTTCGAAAGCTGTGCCAAACGAAGCCTTAGTTAATTCTTGGATGGGTTGAAATATAGTAAAAAGTGAGGCGATGAAGAAGAGTCTGATCTAATTTGATATCACTATGACGAGGAAAAAAATGTTCTATGTGTTTTGCTATAGGTAAGAGAGGAGTAAAAGTTGTTGAAGAAAGAGAAGAAGCTTCCTTGTGATGAGCGACTAACATATCCTATCTAAATATGAATTATAAGTTAATTGTTTCATTTTCTTGTAATCTTTAGATTTTTGGTGAAGGATTCTTCATCATTTTATAAAAAGCTTTTATTTTAAGCTATTGATATCGTGATTAGGGAATGTAGGTATATGTTTTGTTTGAGACGATTTTCTTACTACTAAAAAAACTTTTTAGAATTGTATGCTCAAAACTTGCTTTAAAAGGCAGTAAGAAAGCCGTCCCAATCAAAGTCACAATTGTTTTGGAATCATTGTTTAGAAAAGTGTGTTTGATATAGTGTTGATTTTTTTCTAATTATTAGGCCTTTTATTTCTAAATATTATTTCTTTTTTCTAAACAAAAAGGAATTTAGATATGTTAATTCGAATTAGTTAGATGACAATCATAACTTTAAATCTAAACTAGTAATTAATATTCTTAATAATCAATTAAATACATTAAAAATTAAATTATCCTTGATAATCAATATTAATCGATGAAGAAATCTTAACTAAAAAAGGAAATTATATGTGGTTTAATGACCACATCAAAATTATTCTATTAAATTAATTTAATATTTATTTAATCTTACGATCGCTATAAATGAAATTTAGAAATTATATATTTTAATTTCATTAATTATTAATATTTTATTTGAATTAAAAATTTTAAATCTTGTACTAAATAATTAAATAATTCATCAGAAATTAATGGAGTTTAATCCTACTTGGATAGTTGGATTGTGCTTGAGTTAAATCCAAGTTGGACACAATTCTTCTTGGCCTATTGGTTGAGAGTTTAGGCTTCCAACTAAGAGGTTCAGGATTTGAGTCTATGTGTATGGGTTGTGCGTGTGATTTTGCCTTAAATGGCCTAAATGTCCCCCCAAAAAAAAAAAAACGGAATTTTCTGTCCACGGAGGATTTCGTTTGCCGTGAGATTTGGATTTGCATTTTAGGCCGTTTGGCTGGATTTCGCCCAAATCCGGCCTTAAATCCGCCTAAATCCGCATACCAAACAGCCCCTAAAGTAAACGAGGATTTCTACAATCGAACGCTCTCGGGAGGGCTGATCACCATCATTTCTTCCATCGCCATTCTTCTGCTCTTCATCTCCGAGATCAGTAAGCTGATTCTTTTTCCTTACAAAAAATTCTTTTTTTTTTTTAATTTCTTTCGCTATTTTGCATTTTAAAACAAGGAATTCTTCTAAAGCTTTCTCCATAAGAAAATAAAGGGGAAAAAAGAAAAAAAAAATGACAGATGTCGCTTGATAGAAAGTTCAAACGAGATTCTATTTATATTTCTCTTACCGTTTCAGTGATGTGTTTGCGATCTTGGAATGGATCGGTTTTTAATGATCGTATTATTATGAAGGTTATTTCCTTTTCACTTTTTTGTTGTTATTGCATTCCTGGTGAACGCTGTGAAAACTTAATCTTTCTGAACATTGATTCGCTTATAATTATCAATATCTGGAAATAGGATCCTCATTTGAAGTTCATTTTGGGAATCTTTACCATTAATTACTTGGGGGTAATGTCATCCTTTGGGGCATTTTGGCTGGAAGACGAGTCATGATCATTGCTTTTCTTGTGTGGAAAAACCGGGTTATCATAAGGCGACTCTCTGTAATCTTAACATAAGTCAACTCTAATACATCTACTTTCCTAACCGGATTATCGAAAGTCCGCTGTTTTATGTGACCAAACCTTCTAAGGTGACTCTCTCTAATCTTATCTTCCACTAGAGCTACTCCAACTTTTTCACGTATATGCTCATTTCGTATCTTGTCAGTAAGAGTAAAGCCACTTATCCACTTGAGCATCCTCATCTCGGCAACATTTCACTTAATATTATGCTTCTCTTTTAATGGCCAACATTTTGCACCATAAAGCATTGTAGGTCTAACCACCATCTTATAGAATTTTCCCTTGATGACTCAAGATTAGATCCTTATCAAAATTGATGTTGCTTTGTTGCTTAAGTTAGCTAAATCACATTTTTTTTTAATAATTATTTTTGACATTTATTCCACGGTTGATGACATTGATTCTGCTACTCTATCAGCAATTCAGCATATGCCATTGCACTATTAGAAAGACGACATCAACAAGTTATCCTACCAAGACTGAATGATACTAACATTCAAGCATTAAGAGGGCTCTAAAGATATCAATTCACTAAAAAAGAAAGAAGAAAACATTCATTATGTATGAGGATCAGCTTTATCACTTTGAAGATGCTCTAAAATGATAGTGATGGTCTTTTATTAAATTGTTTTTCTTTTTAAAAGGTCTCAGAATTAATCTTAAAAGTGATTAGTTGAAGGTGGACCTTCTCTTCACAATATTAAGTGAATTTTTACGTGTTATTGATAAATCTTAAAAAATTGGTTTAATCAATCCTTTATGGATTCAACTAATTTACTTCATAACGAAATAGGGTATCGGTGCCCAACACCCAATGCCTTAGGTGCTGCTATTGGTGCTTGCCTCAGTGAGTGGGCATTAAAAAGAATATTTATATTGTACATAGCTTTCTCTTAATTATGAGTAATCTATTTTAAGAGTATAAAATGATAGTGATTACATTAAATTAAGTTTGGATAAATAATGAAATTTCAATTCTTTTTCATTCCAAGTTTGAAAATCAGAAAATCAGACTAATCGAAATAAATTCAGGCAAAATGCTTTAATTTGTAGTGTTTATATCCTTGGGATAGTCTATTCTTTAATATGTATGCATCTTTCTTACATGCGTGCTGTCTTCTCTATCATTGGATTGTTGCCCTCTACACCTTCCTTTATTCTCTTTAAATCATCAGCTTCATTTTTTAATATTTACTACTTTAGAACTTTGGTTCTTGCAGTTACATTAGCAACTTATTTTAAGGGGTACATGCTTGTTTTATCAATTCTTGATACTCTTTTCACATCATCTCATGCCAAATTTCATTATAAAACATATTTAATTAATATTATTTGTCTCGAGTATCAAAAATATGTGTTCACCTACCGCTTGGGAGCTGTGATAGGCGCTATAGCCTATAGCCTTGCCCTTGCCATGTGCATGGCGAATTCATGGCTTTCTTTTAAGATCAGCTGGTCGGGCACTTTTACTTATGGAATAAAAGATACTCATGAAATTAATGTCTTTCAGGCTATCGAAAATAAAGTCATTCACTTTAAGTAGTTTGAATCACTTTTTTGTCCTTCCCAGGTGAATATTAGTCACAGTTATCCATGTTGCTAGTGCGCTAATAACATTTAATAATCACGCTTCGCTTTTTTCTACATTGCAGGGCTATATATTTATTCAGGCACCGAGACTAAGCTAATTGTAGATACCTCAAGAGGAGAAAGACTGCGTGCCAATGTCAGTTCTCGGAAACATTGCTTGTTATTTTAGCTCAGTTGGTTCAAGTTTGTTTCTGAGGTTATAAATGATATCTATGCTGCATTCCGTTCTTTCGTTCATTTTTGTTTGCATTTGATATTTAGTTTAGAAGTTATGTATGTGGTAGCCCCTAATGCAGCTTTTAAATTACCCAGATAACAAACATTTCGGTTTTGCATTTTGAATGATTCCGGATGTGATCTTTAAAATCCAATGAGCTCCACCACTGGGTAAATGCATTTTAAAATCCAACAATTTAATGGCTAGAATAGCTTGATATTGCTGATGATTTTCATACTCTTGAAGAAAGAACTTACTGTTGAATTGATATGTTTCATCACTATCTTCTCTAATATGATGCAGTTTGTTTGAATATTGAGGTATGGTACATCTACTATAACCATTAAAAGCGCACATTTAGGTTTCGTTTGGAACGGCTTTCTTGTTGCTTCTTAAAGCAGCTGTCTAGTACAAAAAATTTAATTATTGAACTAGAAAGCTGCTTTAAGAAGCAGCAAGAAAGCCGTTCCAAACGAAGCCTTAGTCTTTTGCTTTAAAATTACTAAATTAACTCTGTTATCCTCCATGTTAACTACATACTCTTCATTCACAACTGCTGTGTTTGATTTGATGTTATTATACTCCTGTTTGTGTGCAGTTTGATGTTACATTTCCATCCCTTGCTTGCTCCCTTTTGAGTGTTGATGCTATGGATATCAGTAGTGAGCGTCACTTCGATATCGTATGCCCATGGATACTATTCTTGTGTTTTCTGATAATATTGCCTTCCATTTCCCTTATTTTGATGCTAAGTGCAATTTCCATACAGAGGCATGACATTGTAAAGAAAAGATTAGATCATCTTGGGAAAGTCATTGATTCAAGAAAAGGTGATATTGGTGCACCACAGGTGATATTTGCCTAAATGTTCACTCTTTTAACCTATTTCTTTCTTAATTAGTGGGTCAAAATTTTATATTATTTACTTTTCGTTAAGCAACGTGAGTACACATCGCTCAAGTGCTTGCAAAAATTGTGTAGCTGAAACTCATTAGTTAGTGCAGTTTAAATATTTGCGATCATAATGGATTGCTGATTTGTTGGAGTCATCATTGGATGAGTTCGAGTTTGAGGAAAGTTGTGTAAATTCGATGCTATTCTGTTCATTTTACGTTAGGTTTGGTTCACTTTCTTTAAAGTAGTAGCTTTTGATGGGCCATTTTGACTTTATTTTTATGAGTCTATGTTTGGGTGAGTAGATATAATGGTTTTATGCTGCTGGATTTATAGGTTTTTTTTTTTTTTTTCAAGCAGATGGTCTTGTGATCATGAAGACTCTGTATGTATAAAATCAGTAATTCCAAATTGGAAGGACTTCTTAAAGTTTAGTAAGTTATTTGGGTGGGTTGCAATAGCATTCCATGCATGGTCAAATGGTCGTATGAGTGAGAGCAATAACATGAACTAGAATGTGAAAAAATTATTTAAAGAAAATGTGTTTCAACAATATTTACCTATATCCACGACTGCATAGAAAGATATATTTTCACTTTTGTAGAGATAAATAATAATAAAAACAATTTGACGCTCTAATAGTATTCTCACTTTTATCTTAGTAATAAGTTTTTTCTCTTATATTTCAATATGGATGGGGATATTGTTAGTAGAATTCAAGTTGGATGGTTGAAGTGGAGGAATATTTCAGGTTTGTTGTGTGATAGAAAAGTACCACTCAAACTTAAGAGAAATTTTATAAGATGGTGGTGAGACCTACAATGCTTTATGATGTAGAATGTTGGCCATTAAAAGAGAAGCATAATATTAAGCTAAGTGTTAGCTGTGATGAGGATGCTCAGGTGGATGAGTGGATTTACTCTTAGAGACATGATAAGAAATGAACATATCCGTGAAAGGTTGGAGTAGCTCTAGTGACAAATAAGATTAAAGAGAGTTGCCTTAGATTGTTTGGTCATGTAAAATGGCGGCCTTTTGATGACCCTGTTAGGAGAGTGGATGTATTAGATTTGGCTTATGTTAAGAAAAGTAGAGGTAGAGCTAAAAGGACTTGGTTAGAAAATATTAGAAATGGCCTTTCTTTATTAGATTTAAATGAAATTTGACTCTTAACATGACATAATGGAGAAAAATGATTCTTGTAGCCGACTCCACGTAGTGGGATAAAGGTTTGATGTTGTTGTTGTATATTTCAACATGGCTCAAAGCCTCAAAACATGGGGAAACGGTTCTTTGTCAAGGCTCTTGTTATATTTATTTGAGAAATTTCTCACCTTATAAACTAGGGGAAACGCTTTTTTGTCTTTGAATTGTTTATGCTCTATATCTCATTGGCCAACTGCAAGTTTTTAATGCCTTCACTTATCCTTGTTGTTTCTCTAAATATGAGGGCTTGACACAACAAGGAAAGCCAGACACTGACTTATGCTGTCTACCTGAAAGAAAGCTCCTTCCAGCATATAATTTGATGTGATCCCAAGGACTTGGTTTATTTTTACATGTACTCTTTAAGGTTGTGGATTGGTAACAAATCAAGTGAGATTAAAGGTATGATTTTGGCAATCAAAATCCAAAACAATGCCGGTTGAAGATTCAACAAATTTGAAAATGTTTAGATGTTCACCTATAAGAACTTTGGTACAGATTTTCAAGTGAAATCAGCTCTACATCTAATAGTCTTCTACTTAGTTTAGTGCATCGCCTTGAAGGAGTCTTCTGTGTGGCATCCCATCTCAATCAGTGTTTATTTGGGGTTTATGGAGGCATTGTAGTTTCCAAGTCTACACCGGTAAACCTATCATAGTCATTTACCATAACCTTTAATTTGCTACTATGCTTCTCTTTGATCCTTAAACATCATTTGTTTAGCAATGCCCTTCTATAATCTCCCACTTTGGAAAAAAAATTATGTTTCTTTACTCCTTCACAATTAACAACATTTAAGGTCGTAGTTTCTCTCACTATTTCAATGCTTGATGTCATGTACTAGGTGCCATCTTTATTTCCACGTGCTATCCCTATATCACCCTTGATCACCTTCTAAGCATCAATACAGTAGGTCAAGATAAAACCTTTTTTACACAGGACCAATCAAGAACAGGTTCCTCTTCAAGCCAAGAATGTAATGCACATTGAGAAGATTCCACATATTCTTCATTTGCAGTCTTAATTTGGGCATCACCAAATCTTGCAATTCTCAAGGGTTCATCATAAGCATGATGAGCTCTCTCAAAATCTCCTATAGAGTAGTGAGTCATAAATTTTTATGCAAAGTGGAGTGAATTGAGTCTAGTTAGCAGGACTATATATGACTATATGATAGGAAACACTTGTAGATATACCAATTTGATAGGAAATATTTGTAGATCTCAAGTATTTCCTATCAATCTTCGGAAAAGAGCGAGAATCCTCCACAAAAATCCGCACAAAATCACAAAAACTGAAAGAAAGGAAATGAGTAAAGATTACCCAAATTGAAATTCCTCTTGAATCCCACGCACAAATCGTCTGAAAGAAAGGTTAGCCGAATGGAAGGAAGTGGACGGCTAGGGAAGAGGAAATGAAGACTTGGGCCAAAACTGCTGTCCACGCGAGCAGAGAAGGCGGACAGGACCTAGAGCTAGTGATCGGCGTCGGAGAGGAGGTTGGTTCGATTCTTGTTCGACTAGGGCTAGCGACGAGGATGAGAGAGAAACGTGGAGGCTTCGTGCGAACTGGAGGCGACGGACTAGGGTGGTCGATTGGTCCTTGGATTCTTGCGGCACAGGGAGGCGATGGGTTGGTACTTGCAGCTTTTCTTCCGAGCGAACAGAGAGCAGACGAGAGAGAGGGCGACGAGAGTCCTGGGCTTCGATTTCGCGCGAGAGAGGCAGACGATAGCATAAAAATTTTCATGCAGCTTTTTAATACAAAAAATTAAAAGTTTTGTACGATAAAATTGTTTTAAGAAGCAATAAGAAAATTGTCCTAAATAAAACCTAAGAATAAGAGGCAGACGATAGCATAAAATTTTCCATGCAAAACATTTCAACTTCATACAAATAAATAGCTAATTGTGTAAAAAATGATTAATTAAAAAAAAAATCCAAATAAAAACTATTTGAATTTGTAAAATCACGTCTGCAAAAAAAGCGGGCCACCGTAGGAGTTGGGGTACGTGGAAACTTTTTATAAAATCTGAACATATTCATTTTTACTCCCACCCACATCCTCCCATTCCTCTGCCATCCTCTTCCTCCTGTTCCCTGTACAAATGGGTTCCTGTTCCCTGTACAAATGGGTTCGGGAGGAGAATTTCTGTGCCTCACATGCAAAAGAGATGAAGCTAGGCAATTTAGCTCCAAGGAAGGTCTAGAGGAGCATAATAATGCATTGCACAAAAAATTAAAATTTAAATGCGTGGATTGTGCAAATCGGTTCAAGACCAAATGTGAGCTAGAAGCTCACGTCCTGGAGCAGCGGGAAGCAAAGCGGGAAGCACGGCGGGAAGCAAAGCGGGAGGAAGCACGGCGCAGGAAGCACACAGATTGATATACAAATAAATATTAATGTGGGACGCGCGCCTTTTTTTTTTTAATTAATATGCATGGATTTGTATTGATGTTTGTTTGTGGATTGATGTAATGATGTTTGTGGTTTTAATTTTTTATTGAGGTTAATTTTTGCATGTGTCCGGTCCCACATTCATGCTTTTAAGAAATCTTCTTCCAAGTTGTCCTCGGGATTAATGCTAAGAATTTTCCAAAGGACTTTTTTTTGTACTACCAATGCATTGTTTTCTCATCTTTTTTAGATATCTTTATTATAATTATGAGTTTAAATAATACGAATAAGATTTCATTTGCGTTGATTTTCTTATAATTTTTTTAGTATAAAAATTTTAATTTTATACTAAAAATAACTTTAAGTAGCAGTAAAAAACTAAAAAATCAAAAATTAAAAATTAAAAAAATCATTTCAAATGAAGTCTAAAGTTTCGTTTGAGATGATTTATTGTTGTTTCTTAAAACAACTTTTTAGTACAAAAATTAAAAAATTTATACTAAAAACATGCTTTAAGAATCAACAAAAAAAGTAATCCCAAACAAGGCCTAAGGCTTTGTTTAGGACGGCTTTCTTAATGCTTATTAAAGCAGCTTTCTACTAGAAAGCTGTTTTAAGAAGCATTAAGAAAGCCGTCCCAAACAAAACTTAAGGCTCTGCCTGTTTTAGACGGCTTTCTTATTGTTTCTTAAAATAATTTTCTACTATAAAAATTAATTTTTTTTACTAAAAATTTCTTTAATAAGAATTATGAACGCCGACCAAAACAAAACTTAAATATCATATTATTAATTATGAAAATCAGTTCCTATTACTTTCAATTTTTTTATCTCGAAATAATTTATAACTATGAGGGTGATTAGCAATAAATTATTAAGATTGAGCTAACTCCAGAATTGTAGATTAGGTGAGGTATGAAACATAGTCCAATGGTCAATATTTGTCCTTCTGTTTGTAGAAGGAAGCCAATACCAACATGACTTTGGCTTCACATAGACCATTAGCTTACAAAAATATAAATAACTTTTCTTGCTTTCACATGAAGAATAGAAATCAATAATATTTGTTAAAATTTTTTAATAAAAAATTATTTGAATATTCTGATTAAAAAATATGTAAAATGAGTATCAATTTTTCAAATTTATTTTAAAATAGATATAATATTAATTACATATGCACTATATTTATCTCTTTTTTTTTTTAAATGTTAAAATTTTATTAATCAAATATTCTAAAATAGCCTTCTCTTTTTTATTTTAACTAAATCTTGAATATTATGAATGATCCTACCAGTATGAAAAAGTAATGATAGGATGCCCTAAAATTAGACTTAAAATGTTTTCATACCATTAGATGGATTGATATGTAATCTAGTTGGTAGTGTAGCAAATTCCTTGTAAGTTATAATTTGAATAGATGTGTCAAAAATGGGTTTTTTTTTTTTGTGTCAAAATAGGTTAACATGTCAGATACTTGTCCAATTGAAATTGGCTCGATTTATATATGGGTCTAAATGGTGGTCCCGAATCCAACTCGATAATCTATTTTGATTTAAAAAAAATTATATAACTAATAAAAAATAGATTTTAGATTAAGGTTCAGTTGAGACAACTATTTTACTGTTTTTTAA